CAGGTGCAGAACTGCCGTGACATGCAGGTGCAGAACTGCCGTGACATCTGGGCATGAGGTCCCTCGTACTGGCAGGCCCTCCACTTGCCGCAGGCTCTTTGGTCGGCAAGGCTGCAGAGGGAGGACCTCCAGACCCCAGTCCTGCAGCTTACGGGAGGGGGCGGCTGGCAGTCAGCCTTTGATGGCAGCCAGGATGGGGAGCTGGGGCAGGGAGGCCAGAGGAGGGAGCCGGCCACGCAGAGTGGGGGGGGTCAGTGCCAAAGGAAGCCAGTGAGGGGTGTGAGCAAGGCCGGGGCTGGTGAGGTGAGACCGGGGGAAGGGGGTTTCGATCCCAGATGGCGCACTCCAAGCCTGTGAGGCTGATCCCAGTAAGGCCTGGGGCAGCTTCCCGGGTGGCTGGAGAATGAGGCCCGCGTCTGTGCCACCACTGGGAGACACCGTGGGAGGCCGTTCCTCGGCACTGGGCCCCGTGTGTGCTTTCCCCATGATAAACGGGACCGTGTCGTGGCTTCTCTCCTGAGTCCTGAGAGTTGTAGGAGCGGGTCTGAGGGTCCCCTGCCCAACGGCCGCTGAAGACAGCGCGGCAGGGCGGCTCTCCTAGTTCCTACGCCGCTCACCCAGCCACGGGCCCGTCGTTGTGTGAAGACCCACATTAGAGTGTTTCTAAAAATTCACAGTGTTCACAGTGTAACGGGGCCTGGAGCTGGCATTCATTTTAAACACTGGCAGACGTCCGAGGCAGGACAGATCACCAAACACTCACAACTAAAGTGGGTGAGAGTTGACAGCTCTTTTAATAGGCTTCCTGAAACTTCATTTTGTCCCCAGGGCTGAACCTGCTTCCTTCCATATGGCCCACGTCACCCCGCACAGGCCTCAGGGTGACATTTCTGTTGTGCTGTCCTGCAGCACGTGAGCTCCGCCGATTGGTGCCGGCTCCGCAGGGGACACCTGCTAACGTCCCCCCTCACCTGGGAGTAACCAGCAGACTTACACACCTGTACCATCTTCCCAACACCAGATGATTTCGCGTGGCATGAGCAGGGGTTGGTCCCCTAGGAGCACGCAGTTTTCACTTTGCATTTTGGTGGGAATGTGGCCACACATCTCCTGCGGGTGTGCTTGCTTCAGGCATATGCTTCTCCCAGAAGCCAGTACGTGGGCACAGAGACTCCTGGAATCTGAGGCAGCCTGGTCACCGCAAACCCAGGTGCCATGATTACTAGCTATTTCTACAGTAACCTCAAGTAGTTAGTTGTTTTCCCTGGCTGCCATCAAAATGCCTTTAGGAGCAATAACTTCAAATGATTAAAGAGAGTAGTTTGCTGATCAATAAACCACCAAATTATCCAGAGTAGGTGGAAGTCACAGCTGCTAATGGGAAGATGATCACATCAGAAGTGGAGGGGCCGCGGGGGAAGCCCTCTCCTGTGGGTGTTTGGAGAACCTTCACTACTTGTGTGAACCAAACGATCTTTCGTGTAAGGTACCCTCCGTGCCTCACGGGACATTTTCACAGGTTGTTATAACTAAACCAGAAATGTCTGTTATCGGCGGGGGGTCCCTTCCAAGACCCCCAGTGGATGCCTGCAAGCGCAGCTGGTCCCGAACCCTGCAGGTGCTAACTCTTCTGAACACACACCTGTGATTGAGTGAAAGTGTGACTGAGGCACAGGAAGGAACCAAGAGTCACCCAGAACAATCCTAACAACGCGCTGCCGTGAGGTCAGAGGATCGTGGCCTCCCGCTCTCCCGGGCCTGGGAGGATGTGACATGATGATCGCCTGCGTGCGGAGATGGACGTGAGCGACGTGGGCAGGCGACACAGCACTGGGCTACTGCCCACCTTCTGAGGACATGTCACAGGGAGGACATTCGCCTCTCGCGGTTGACCGTGGACAATGGTTGGCGGCGGGGGCACAACCACAGCTCAAGAAGGGACTGTTGCTCCTCATGAGAGGATGTTCAACCCCCGTCTTCCTGACTGCAGGCAGCTTCTCTCCTTGTGCTGGCCGTAGGGGAGCCAGGCTCCCCCCTGGTGTTCCCTCACCCCAACCTCTGTACCTCGCTACACCACGAGGAGCGCACGGCCTCGTCACCACACGGGGCGAGGACTGCGTGGAGCGAAAGTGCCGCCTCAGGAACCCCGCACCCTACGCGGGGGGTGCCGCATCCCTTCTAGTGCACAGCCTCAGCTCTCCACTCTGGGGTGGCACTCAAGGGTGTCACTTCCCTGCTGGTGACCCAGCCTTACACACAGAACACAGGAAAGGATTCGTTTGTGAGCACTTGGCTCACAAACATTTTTGAAAGGAATAGAGTTTTAGGAACATAAAGATTTAAGAATATTTTCAAAATATATTTTATTTCTTTCTCATATGTACTTTGCAAAATTTTCAAGGTAAACATTAGCTTCATATACAGAAATAAAGGAGAGTTCTTTAAGAACTGGCATTGACTCAATCACAAGAATGATCAAATTTTGATAATGGAAGATAAACTTGTGTATTATCAAAACCAAATGGCTTAAGTGAGGAGTTTTCTTCAGAAAGGTCTCTCCCACTGAACCCCGCGCCCCTCGGGGGACTCAAACCGTCATCATGGACACACAGACACAGGAAAATGCATGTGCGTGTAGCAGCGGCTGCGCAGACTCAGAGATGGTTCTGGGGAGCGAGTGTCAACGCTCCAGGTACTTGGTGTTGTGCACGAGGACTTTCCTGGGTCTGTTCCAACGTCTGGTTCAGAATACATTTTCTTGGGAGATAAACCTGATATAAATCTCGTCACTTGCTAAACTGTCAAACTATTAACTGTATTAAATATGCAAGGAAATCACCACGTACTTTATTCTCTACATTTCTGCGCCGTCATCGTCATCTTCATCATCTTTGGCTCTGAAATGCATTTTCCTGAATTCTCGCCTGCTCATCGAAGGACAAGACGAAGACGCCGGTGGAAGGTCCTTGGGGGAGGAAAACACATTTCAGGCACGGCCAGCGCACCGCACCGGTCAGCACTCGGGGTGAGGGCTCGCTCCCCCAGCCGACTTGAGAGAAGAGGATGCCCAGCAAGCCTGGGGCAGCTGCGTCCTGCCCACAGCTGAGGGGGAGCCCAGAGTCACACACCAGCCCGCACCCCGAGGGCCGAGCAAGGATGCAGAGGCCTCCCAGCAGACGCTGGTGCTCTGGCAGGATCCTCTGCTCAGGGCAGGGTGGGGCTGCTCCCGGGTAGCCGGGGTGTCGTCCCCTCGCGGGCACACGAGTCTGTCCTGAGGCAGCGCCACACGCAGGCCGTGAGTGTGCAGCCGGCGGGGGGGCACTTGTCTTACCTGCATGAGCTCCACGTTCCCGAAGAACCGGCCCACCGGCATCGGCTGGTTGCTGTCCTCGTCCAGAAAGACACTGTCATCTGTCTGCAGCGGGGGCCTCGGGGCCTGCTCCCCCTGCAGCGCTGAGCCGCCCCGCGCCGCGCGGCTGCCGTGCGGCTCCTCCCCTGTAAGAGCCCCGGGGGCGGGCAGGCACAGGCCGTCTTCAGTCTCTGCCGGGCCAGGGTCACCCACAGCTGTGCGGGGCCCGAGGGGGGGCCCCGCGGTCTCCGGCTGTGCGGGAGCACCAGCTCCCTTTCCTGCAGGCGGCACGTGGTCTTCAGCAAACCCCAGAGGCTCATTGTTACAAGGGCTCTCGGGTGGTATTTTGGGCAAAGCAGCACTGTCGCTCTTAGGGACGAGTTTCTGTAATTCTGCCTTCACGAGATGACCTTTGTCATACTTGAACTTCTTGGAAGTTCGCCTGTCGGCAGCTTTGTGTGACGAGGTCTGTCAAGAGGAAAGTGTAAGGGGAAACCAGACACATCTAGGCTTATGAGGCAGACAGCAAATTCAGAACGTCTCAGTCCCAGAGGCCAGGATTCCTTCTCACCCCTTAAACAATACAGGTGCTGCTGCCACACTCGTATGATAGGGTTATTAGGTCACTGCTTCCAAAGGGTGGGGGAGATCCAGACACACACCCGCCGCCAGTTCCCCCAAGGGCGCTGCAGTTCCTGAGGGCACTCCAGAAGCAGGTATTGACAGATTATAAAATGCCAACAAAACATCCAGTTTCCATGCATCTCTGCTAGAACATCAGCTGCACAAAGGCAGGATCTGTTTTACGGCACAGAGCAGGGGCTCAGCAATTATTTGTTAAAGGGACTTCATGGTTTTTAGAGCAGTGCACGGAAGTGGAACTGTTAGCTGCTGGTGTCAAACCAAGTCCCAACCAGACCCGTG